GATTTTTTAGCGTCCGGGAGCGAAAATTGGAGGAGGTAAGCGAAAATTTTAGGCGGAACAGGCTTTTTACCGCTACCGGTGAGCAAAAGAAACGCTAAATTCTCAACATTCGAGGGTAATCCCTCAGCATTTGTGCGTCTGTTGATGATAGACCTCGCTTGTAGCTACGACTCTCGTGTTAGTTAATTATACCCGTACCACTCGGTATAGGATGAAGATCAAAAGAATCGCCAAAACGTAATAAATGGTTGAGAAACAAAACAAGATAGAAACAAAGAAGGAATGCAGAGATAAAGGAAGTTAAAAGAAAAGAAGGGAAAAAGAAGAAAAAAAATACAACTCTCGTGAAATAAGACTGAAGACCAAATATTGCCTTTAGAAAATCATGAACGAATACGAATCGTCTCTGGTATATCAAGAATCTTTTAAGTGCCTGCATCATCCGGCGTACCTTTGATTTCACTACTACTCAGTTGCTCTTTGCGATATCGATTTACTTTTTGTTTGAAAGTAGACACTGCATGCTTGAAAATTCAGAGACAAGTCAAGTTTTCTTCGTCCAAAAACGACCATTATCAAGACAATCATGAAGATGCTTATCGGAAAAGAGTTTAAAGATTCATTTAGCAATCTCGAGTACTAAATAAATTTTGGGGTTTATCATCAAATGCCTCAAATTTTTCAATGTTAAGTGTAATCCAATCTTCGATCCTCGTTTCTGTATGAAGCTCTTGAAAACAACGAATATGAAAGCATATGCGAAAAATCTTCGTAAAGACATCACACAAATTGTCCTAGAGCCTAGTATGACACGGCTTTTCCTGCTGCATTTAATCAAACAAATAAGTTGAATAGTTTTTATTTTACTTTATCTTCTGAAACAACATTTAACAAAAAAATCCATAATAGCATCCTTGACGAGCTGAACGGAGTACACAAAAAGGGTAATCCAGAAGAAAAAGAAGAGCACATCTTACCACCAATCCTAATGTAGACGAACCTCTGCTGAACAAGCCAAATTCTGATTGGTGCCTTTACGAAGAAAAAGTTAAGACACCAATCAGAATCCTTAAGGCGAAAAAATTAAGCTGCTTAAGTCGTAGTGTGAACATAGCCTAAGACAGCTGTTAGCGACCCAAAGATGGAAACTAAAATAAAATAAAAAGAAGTATAAATTTTCAGCCGAACAAAACATTTATTTCGATGCGGTGTCATCATCCAATGTAAAAATGAGAAAGTCAAAACTTAGATTAAAATCGACTATTTGGCAATAATCGATAAAATCTGATTTTTTGTCCTGTTTTTTGATTAAATTAACACCATTCATTCCGGATGTCTGTTAAAACAGACATGAGTTTACTTGCTTATAACTTTTGAACGACAACAGCTGGGAGGAAACTGCAAAAGACCAATTTTTCAGAAAATACGATTTTTTCACTGTGACCGTACTAAATTAAAAGCCTTATCGCGTCTTCATTTCTCAACAAAATTGCTTCAAATTTTCAAAATAAACTTAGTTTGGCTTGCTACACAGTTTAGAAGGGTTAAAACTTGTTTTCGTACTGAGATTTCTCATGAAGATCTCAGAAATCTTTTGGAAAACCTTACAAGGTACCATCAAGTTTTCTGCATGTTTGTCTATGTGATGTGATGTGATGAAACACTTCAAACTAAGTTTTATTTTGAAAATTTGAAGCAATTTTGTTGAGAAATGAAGGCGCGATAGGGTTTTTAATTTAGTACGGTCGCAGTGGAAAAATCGTATTTTCTGAAAAATTGGTCTTTTGCAGTTTCCTTAATCCGGGCAACAAAACAAACATTGCCACACTAATCAGCGTGTCCGACAGCCTATGTGTCATGTGATTTTAAGGTACTTTGAGCTCGGATTTGGCCGATAGGTAGGTCCTCGGAGATTGCCTGTAGTGTACAAACCATGATAGATGGAGCTCTAGGCCTTGTGTCACTATAAAGACGGAAGTCACTTCTATATAAGAGGCAAATTTTGAGCCTGGTTCACTACGCAAAGTCTACAAACGGCGAGCTCGGACTTTTTCCTTCGAAAGATACACCATAGTAGACCTGTTCTGAAAGCTTCATTATTTCATAAATCTATGTGCCCCGGTGTCTAGTTTAAGAAACTAAAAACCGGAGGTCGCTGGATCTTGTCGTTCAAAAGTTATAAGGCAGTAAACTCATGTCTGTTTAAACAGACATCGGGAATGAACGGGTTAAATTATCATCACGATTTTAATTAATTATTTATGGAATTGATTATTCTGATTTCTGATTAAAGAAATAATTTTAATCGATTATTTACGAAATCTATCCAAATCGATTATATTAAAACTTGATTAATATGATTGTTTATTAAGGAAACGATTTTAATCGATTTCCCTTGAAATCGATTACAACCGATTGAATTAAAAATCGATTACTCTAATTTCTGATTAAGGACGAAGATGTCGTTGCGCCATGTGTTCAGAGGATGGATAGTTGAAATTTTTCCATGAAAAAATCAGATTTTCAGGCTAAAATCGAAAGGAAATCGCCTCACAACTTTGGGAATGATTAAAATAAATTCATGACTAGGTAAATAACTTCTGTTTTCTAGCAATCTGAACAAAATTTCCAGCTTTGTTATATGTCTACATATTTCAGTTATACAGCAAATACTAAGCACAAATGACAAGCAACTTAAGACAAGAAGCAAGAGACACATTATGGCAAGACAGCAGGGATGTATCCAGCGAAGATTTAGTATCGTCACATAAGTCGTGTCAATATAGTGAAGAAAGTGCAAAGGAGAAAGCTGAAGTGCGTAAAGCTAAAATTCGTGAAGCATACACAGTTACTGCGCTACAGAATTGTACATGACTAAAATGAATTTACCTTGTACGTATATCATTGTTGCTTTTTATATGATTTATCTGTGTTGGAAAACCAATCGACTAGAAATTGATATTATACGTAAAATAAAAGCTTTTCCATCAATATAGACAGAATCATCCAACTCTGAGCTTCGATCGAGGCAGAGTCTGCCGCACAGTGGCAACCAGGCGGATATGGAACAGGTGATATTTTGCAAAGTTTCAATATTACAGCGCACCTCAATTGGTTTTCCCCCCTATGTATTTCTTACTTTAAACTATTATAGTTTGCTTTTTTTCAATAATGGGTATATAGCGAGAAAGTACAGACTTCACTGCATCGCATGATATATTGGCCATAAATAACAAATAGAAATCAAACAACAAAACATACATTAGAAAAAAAGATGGTATTTTTTTCCATTACAGTTTATCTTTCAGTTGTTTTTGTACATATTAACGCATATAACTTCAATTATTGCTTGAATATTCAAAAGTTCAACGGTTTATAGAAAGTTTTCGCTGAAACCTTCGAAACTAAGAGAATATTTTTTACTGGCTTTAAGTACAGAAGCAGAATGAGCGGATAAAATAGAGTATTTTCTGCTATTCTGAAGTAAGATGCATGGAAAGCAAACTTCCAGTGGAATTTATTTTCGAACATATCATACGCCGTTGGATAGAGAACTTCACGGCGGTCAAGAATATATATGCCTTGCCTTTATCTGACACCTTTTTCCGGTCGAAAAATTAAAAAACCTCGAAAGGTATCAAAAACGGACATTTTTTTGTCTTTTTTGAAATTATGTTACGAGATGGAATGTTCTAACTTGTTTTTCCTGATTCAGAATTGAAAGCTGAATTAGAAAATGATCTTAGAACATTTTTAGAACAAAACATCTACTCACAAAAATAACGGAAAGATAAAAATTCGATTTACTCTTCCTGCAGACTATAGTGAAAAAAAATACCATCTTTTTTTCTGATGTATTTTTTGTTGTTTGATTTCTGTTTGTTATTTATGACCCATATATCATGCGATGCAGTGAAGTCTGTACTTTATATACCCATTATTGAAAAAAAAAGCAAACTATAATAGTTTAAAGTAAGAAATACATAGGGGGAAAAACCAATTGAGGTGCGCTGTAGAATAAATACATGTCTTTGGTTTATCTTGTTCTAAAATGGCGTTTTCAGAAGTTAAGTACAACGTTACAAGGAAAGTTAATATTTTGAATAACTTATCAGAATAATTTTAAATAAAAAATGAAGTGAGAATATGCTGCAAAATACCCATTACCTTGCGTTACAGGACAAGATAAAACAATGTAAAAAACGCTAACGGTGGAGTGAGCTATCATTTTTTTATTAAATATTTTCGCAAAAAGATGTTAAACATAATAATTATCCACTATCGGTCTCATATTCTGCAAATGTAAAAGATCTTTTTTTCCATCGCTAACTTAATTAAGAAGTCGACTGGATGCTTTATTTTAATTTTGCTTCGCCGAGATCACTAAATCACTCTTGTGGTAAGATTTTCTCGTCATGATAACAAAAGTATCGTTCGATATCATTTCTAATACGTGTTTTGCTTCTGTTCTTTAACATCAAATATAAATATCCTAATATTGGAGTTTATATCTCCTTTATTATTGTCACGTTTTTGTAACAAAGCGAATACTTGACAAGTGACGTTTGAATCTATTTTAGAATTCTATCTACACTCAATAAAATTCATGTACAGTAAGCCTTATTAAATCATATTTATATACAACAAGAATAATCTCTCATCGAAATGTCTTCTACAATTTTTATTAGTATGAATGGAACCAAAAAGAAATTTTATTCACTAAAAAAAATTGATTTTTTAATGTTCATTGTCATTACTCTCTACAACAAAACGATTATAGCAAAGAAAATTAATGATCTTATCTTATACTTATAATACACAGCATGGCGTGAAAAAAATCTGGACACACTTGTCCAGTTTGAGATTCATTCACAAGAGTTAGGAACAAGGAAAAAACGACCGATCTGATTCCCATATTCCCATACAGGAATACATGGGTATCGAGAATTCCCTGTTTCCTCTTGAGGTACTTCTACACCATACACACACCATCATGTAATTTAATCACCCTCACCCACAGTCACCGGTGCAGGTGAGGGTGTGTGTGTATCGTGTAGAAGCACCGAGATCTGAAATTGACGAGGTGAGACAAAAAGACACTTACGAGCAACGCATCGGATGTAATCCCATTTATTCCTCCTTGCCCTGACTGGGGGCGTATCTGGTCGACCATCGACGCCACCACCGGGATCACCAAGGACGCCACCAACGAGACCACCAACGGCTAGAAGTAATGTAAATAAATTATTTTGATCATATACACATTTGTGTCGAAGACTAGTACAATTCGTGCTCATCTCGGCTCTTTTGGCTACGTGCTAAATTTTGTTATCATGATTGTAACACAAACTTTCATTTTTTTACTCTTGCTTTTCGATAAAAGGCAGATTTATATTTTGTTTCTATGATTAAACTGAACGAAATGTTTTCTTTAAGCAGGCTAAAGTTCGAAAACAGAAAAAAATTTCTCCAATAAAATTCAAAATTGATTGATGGTTTCTAGTAACAAACAAAACGTTCAAAAACAACAACAAGATCCAACATTTATTTTCCAGAAAACGATTTATTTGGAAAATTAAGATTATTTTTCAATTAACAGACATCAGTGGGTACGTGTTTTTGTAAATAAACAGGGCCGAATGGATCAAACCTGTGTTCACTTTTATTTTTTTAATAAAATAAAGGAAAGTGACAACCAAGTCCATAGGACATGATTTGAACGCCTCATCTCTCTCATTGTGAAGCATCTGCAATCAAAATTGCGAAGAAAAAAGCCTAGAAGTTAATGAATAATGGAGGATGAGATACTGAAGAAGGTATTTCAATATACAGAAACAATCTTTTTTGAATAAATCATTGAAAACCATAAATTAAAGCAGAAAAAAAATTTAAGAGAAGACTTTTCCCAAAACAAAAGATCCGAATAATAATTTTTCACTTTTTTTCTAAAACTTATTGTTGCGCTAACATAATTTTCTTTTCAATTGAAGCAAATATTTTTCCAAAAAAAAGCATTGTACATTAATTTTATTTAAAGTAAGATTTTCTTTGAATATTTTGTTGTGCTCGATGAGAGAATACACTGACTTTTTCTCTGTAAAAACAATAATTAAATAAAAGGTATAATTGTTTGTCCTTCTGATTCATCAGATAAACTCACCGGATCGACAACACACGACATATGTTGTATCTTGAGTCCAACTGTCTTGATCAAGCAGAATTCGCCCGTCTTTTCTTTCGAACCTAAAACGTAAAAAACCACAATCATAAAGCCGAAGGACAAAAGCGCTCTCCATTGAGATATGTGCAGATTTCCGAAAAAGGAAATTACGGAAATTTCCGTAGTTTCCAAAAGCTCGCACAATTGCCAGAAACAATTTTCGGACAATCTGCAATTTTTGAAAATTAAAGAAGAATAGAAACTTTTGAAAACATTTGTTTAAAATTTCCTTTGTTGGAAATTTGAACATTGCTGCTCGATTGAAACTTTATTCAATTCAAAGAAGATTAGTTATTTTAAAGTCAAATACGAATTATAATTGATTATTTGGATCTTTTTTTTCTTTCTTCAGAAAATTTCCGTTAGTATCCATATAAATGGTTGAAATTTCATGTGAAGGTGCCTCTTCACCGTGCATACACGCCCTCATCCTCACGTAGTGATGTGTGTGATTGAATTAACCTCTGTGTAATATGTCTTGGCACAACATTAAAACCCGTATGACTCCATTAGGAAAAATGCTTTTTCAATCGGAACGTGTGTTTTAAAATCTTTCTTCAGAAATTGTGCAGCATTGTTTGTTCAAAAACTACAGGCGTACTGAAAATTATGGAAAATGAGTTTGTACAAGAAAAAATCCACTTTTTTTGAAGGTGTGTCCTACTTGAGATAACTCTTAGTAAATTTTCAAAAATCGTATTCCTATTATAGAGCAAATATTTCTCTACAAATCTGTCTGTTTTACGGCTTTGTAGGACATTTCTGTAAAAAATGATGAACATTTCAATGAAAGTCTTATTCCATAGAAAATGAGAAAAACTCGAAATTTTAAAAGCAGAATTTTTTGTAAAATGTTTAGAAGTTTTCAATGAAAAAATTGTGAAAGATTGCGCAACACACGATTTGGTTGAGAACTAAATCTTTTGTGTTTAATTTAACGTAGTTAACGTAGCTTTGTCTCTTTTTTTTCTTGTACAAACTCATTTTTTCCAGTACATCTCTAGTTTTTGAACGAAAGATACTACACAATTTGAAAAGATGACATCATGCATACTTTAAAACACATGTTCTGATTGAAAAAGCATTTTTCCCAACGGAGTAATATGCGTTTTAATGTTGTGCCAAGACTTATTACACAGGGGTTAGATGAATGATTGTGTGCGACCGCTGATTCTTATAGTAACATTTTCAAGCTGATTTGACGCCTAGCGATGTACCAAATATCATAAAATTCTGAAGTCTCTGGACTTCTGTGTAGCTTCATTGAAAAGACAATTCATTGAATAGATCGAGAGAATACTATCATTAATCTCTTCTCTGCGCGATGTTCACATCGTGCTGATTTTGTGCCGAAAGATCGTAAGCGATAGAAGTGGATGAAAACTTTTAAAAAATTGAAGTGCGCGGTAATTTTTTAGGTGAGACTTCACCGGCGCTCATGGAAGGGCCGTCCCGTGTCTGCTAGAATATTGAAATTACGACGGAGGCATTTGCACTTGTGGCTATCTAGTATAAACTTATAACCGTACGTCGACTGAGCTCGATTTATTTCTGTACTGCCGCTCATCTTCTTGTATGATAGAAAACACATAAATTGACAGGACGAGGTGTTCTCTTTCGGAATATGTGCTCCTTTCCGCAAGATTCGACAATTTTCGGTTACCAGATTCTCGTTTTATCGAAAACTCCTAATAACAGCCAAACGCAAATGATAAAGCTAAATGTCGCTTGAAACGACGCAATTAGTGTGGATCAGTAGAGGATAGAGGTTAAATTGTATGCTAATATCTATCGTTAGAGAAGTTTTACGAACTTGCACAATCCGGTTCGTCAAACAGATTTCTTGCTCATGGTACACAATCGTAATCGAATCGAAGGTTAATTTCTTTTGCTGGGATATTTCACGACCGTAACACTGTGTTGATAAATACTATCTGACTTTTTGCACAGTAACTTTAACTCCAGCGAGATATCAGTCGTATAATCTTGTGCGAAAAGAAAAGATTTGTAAAGAATGTACATAGCAAACATTTGATACTCGATTAATCCAGTCCTTGTAAACTGTAACGGAAAACAAAGTGTGACTACAGAGCGAGAATTGCATTTAAAATAATCTTTAGTACAAAGATTAATATGTTTGAGTGTGGAGCATTTCTTCTGTCGATCGAGTGTAAGAGTTGTGCATGATAAAATTAAATCATCCACTATTGTTCTTTGCAGACTTTTACGCCAAGTTCCAAACTACTGTTGAACTTTAGGGTTAATTTCGCGTGATCTAACACGTTCTTTCAACTAAAGACTAGAAAAATCGACGTGCCATCAACCGTGTATTGCCTGACAAAAACACCGTTCCGAACTCATTACAGGCAAATACACAAGAGATCAACAATGTTCAGATTTTCAAAAAAGGAAATTACGGAAATTTGAGAGGAATGTTTTCCCACAAGCCCCTGTTCTTCTGGCATTTCCAAAATTTCGTAAATTTCTGTATTTTCAAAAAATTCTAAATTGTCCGAAAAATGTTTTTGACAATCGTGCGTGCTTTTGGCAATTTTTTTAAGTTCCTCTTTCGGAAATCTGCACATATCTCAAAAACATCAACATTGTGGAGAGAGAAATAGAGAAGAGAAAAAGTTCACGAAATCATTCGCGAGATCTATACTTAAATCAGCCGAAGCAAAACTGAATTCTCTTTCCAATGAAGCTGTTCACAACTCGATATAACTTAAGTATCTCAAGACATAGTGGTTACATATTGACAAACTTCAATATTTCTAATGAAAATAATATCAATAGATGTCATATTGACTGGAAATTGTAACTTTAAGAATCTATATTTGAATCGATCAGATATTGAAACAAAAAAGAATCTATTTTGGATTGATCGCTAGATAACGAACCATTTATTTTCATGTCTCTCGTACAGAGAACACGGGCATCAGAATTAAACTATTGATTTTTAACATACAAAAAATGTGAAATTGAAAAATTATACGAAGTAGGACATAATCACTCACCCTCGAAACTCATATTCATTTACTTTGCATTTGATTGCAGTTGCCTCCGGAAGGTATTGACGTATATCATCGATAGATATTGAAAAATGGCTATCGACCGGCATGTACACCATATTTCCAAGGTTTCGATCTTCGACCAAACGAACGAGCATGATTGATCTAAAATATATATTGAGCAAATCATCTGGACGAGTACAACGTCAAGTTCTAGGGTTAATATTTGCTGTTTTCAGTTGATGCACAATAACAGTCTGTTGTAGAGAAACTGACATCTGAGTAGCAGTGTTTCGATCAATAATATATATGGAAAAAGATGTTAATAGAGTTTCATTTTATTGATCGAAAAAATCTGACACGAAAACTGAAGAACAAATACTCTATGGTCTGACTAAATTATCCATGGTATACCACGCGTCATACAAAAAATCATTTTGAACTAGGAGAGATCGTAAAAGATTCGCTGTATTTTACTACCTGGACGTTCGAAGTTTGGCATAAGGGCACTCAGCAGTTTCAGAGAGAATCACGTATCGATCTCATAGAAGTCACAATTACGACAGAGGTACGCAAATTTCTCTGAAACTGCCGAGTGCCCTTCCTAGGTAGAAAAATACAGCGAATCTTTTGGAATCTATCGTAGTTCAACATGATTTTTTGTATGACGCATGGCATATCATAGATAATTTGGCCAGACCACAGACTAAAGAAAGAATTGCTCAGCTATGTGCAATGAATCGCTACTTTTCATCTAAAGCTAGAAAATACTTAGAAGAGAGACACAAGAACAAGCTGCTCTACAATTCTTAAATTCCCTTGGCTTTAGTCTAGGGTCTTACAAAATCGTTGTCTGTGTGTTTGTATGCAAAATACGGAAAAATGGCTGTCAGATATTCTATGGATAAGCCAATTATAAGCGAGAAGCATAAAAAATTTCTTTTTAATCACGAGAGAGAAAATATTCAAATAGATGATCTGAAGTATCTACCGATGCAGAAAGACAAAAAGCTAGGCAAACGTTTTCTGCAGGCCGGCGATAGATGTCGCAAAATAGCAGTCAAAT